TAATATTTTAATATTAGGGGTGATAACTAGGTTGGTTAGCGGTTAACCATTAACTGATAATGCGGTTAACGGCTACCTACCAATAAAAAAATCATTACCATTAGTCGACCTGCCAAACATTAGTTGTTAACTGTCATCGTCGATTCGATTAATGGTTAACCGCCTATATTGTTGAAAAAGAGAATTATGGTATGTTTATGAATTTGGAAAAAGGTAAGGGACATAATTTTCTTTTTATATAATGTATAAAAGGAAAGTGATGGACAAGAGATATCCTTGCGGCACACTCCCTTCTAGGGGTGGGCAATGGGTTGGTCCAAACCGGACCACACCAGATCGCATCGATGTTTAGATCGGACCACACCGAATTGAATATAATATGGTCCGATCCTTTGTCCCTTGAAATTTATAAATACTGAAGAAAATGGACCGAATTTACATTTGGACCGGACCCAAGCGGACCGAATGCACTATTGGTCCGATCCTTGGTCCTAAGTTATCTTTCACTATTGGACCGCGATTCTCTGAATTTGGTCCGATTCGATCCGGACCGGACTGATGCCCGTCCCTACTCCCTTCTTCTCTTTACTCTCGTCATCTCTCCTCTCTCTTGTTTTCTCTGCAGATAAAAACGAATCCACTCCCTCTGTGAACCAAGAACAGAAGAAAACACAACCCTTATTTCTTTCACTCTTGAACAGTCAAACCCTAGCTGTCATCATCACTTCTCTCTCTCGATCATCCTCCCGTCGATGTGATTGAGAAGCAACCAAAGAGAGTTATTAGCACGACGACCAACACTTTGTGGTTCATGATAAATCCTCTTCGGCGATCCCTCGTTCTTCGTATTAGCCGAGAAGGCGAGGAGATTGGAGTTAGTGAGTGTAGAGTGATCAACGGCGAAGTTGTTTCCTTCGTTGAGTGTGAGGTTTTGATCATTTCGAGTGGTTAACAATCCTTATCGATTGTTAATTGATAACTTCGAAATGGCATTATTTACCTTACATTTATTAGGTGATCTTGTGTTAAAATGATTTTCAATTGTTTTACAAAATGTCATTCGCGTGCCCATTTCATTCCTTTTCGTTTATGATACTGTTTTTGGACGCATTTGACATTACGAGCAAAGATGGGAAGGAAATGAGCAATAATGTGTAGAAGCAAGGAGAAGAACCAGACAATGCAAGGATTGCAGCTGAAGAGCTCAAGTTCCCACCCGCGAAGATAAACCGTGAAGTCTGCCAGAAGATCGCGGGCCAAGGTCGTGAGATCCCGACCGCGAAGTGGAGCACTCCGACCGCAAACTCTGGAAGGATTCGTCGCTGGGAGAACAGAGAGTTTCCCCACTCTCTTCGCAAGCAACGTTGATCCAGACTGAGGAAAATGATCATGTCCGTGACACACAAGTTTGCGGCCGCGATCTTCTATCTTCAGGCCGCGAACTAGCCCGAGATTTTCAGCGCCTTTAAATAGTAGAGTTGCTGGAGAGAAAAAAGGAGGGCCGCCTTATAGTTAGAAAGTTAGGGTTTTGGAGTGTTTTAGAGAGGGAATCACCTTGGGAGAGCTTTATTGAAGATCCAATCAACCCAAAGAGCAAGGAGAAGGTGCAAGCAAGGAGAACAAGCTTGATTCTATCATTCCCCTCTTCTAGTTTGTGTTTTCTTCCTCTCTCTAGTGATTGTTTATGGAATATGAACCCGAGTTTATAGGTTGTGTATGAATGGGTTATGTATGAATGTGTCTGACTAGTTGATTTGAATGTCATTCTATCCTGGATTGTGTTTGGGTAAGTCGCACAAATCTACTCTATTAGGGTTAGACGGGTATACATCATCAAGCCAATCGAGATAGATGTATGAATGGGGTCCTATAGTGGTCGAGGCGACCGAACCCCTGCTATAGGTAACCTTCCTAGAAAGAACCGCAAATGAAACCTTGGTGTGGACGGTGGATAGTGTCCATTGAAAGAAGCCATGAGCTTAATGCCACAGATACGATAGTCTAGATCGAGGTGACTATATATGGGTTTAGGGGAGGCGTACTTGGTGGCGTGTGGATAACCACGAAAGCCCACAGAAAAGAGCTCACTCACCCCATTCGATTGACCCTACTTGAAAACTATAGCTAGGAGGATGCGACCTTAGGCAACCATCTCACCTCTAGCGGTTTCCCAATCACTTGGTTGCTTGTTTAGGAGTAGGTTAAATTAGTTCAAACCCCTCATCAAACTTTCGACCCGATTATATAGTAGTTCGGAGCAAAGTAATAATAAACTTAGGGATCCCATGGAATACGACTGAGCCACTTTATTATAACCATATCTAGGTTATACTTGGCTTAGTTAGGATTGAATATAAAGTGTGCATTGACTTATAAATTTAAAGCTCGATCGCGTAATAACAACCGATCATTAATCGCTAACAGTATGTTATTAACCATTTGTGACTTGGTACTCCAATAAGGAGTTTTGAGCTTCCGCTAAACTACTCACATTCTCCTTAGTGATTAACGGTTTCACCATTAACAGTCTGTTACCAATGTGGTTAACATTTAAACTGTTAACGACACAACATTTATCACCCTATTTTATATACCTCTCCCCATCGCATTTACATGCATCAAGGTAGTTTCTTGTCGGCACAGACTAGATTTGTATTTTAGGCAATCAATCGATTAAAAAAATAAAACTCTTATATGATTTAATCTTGAATCAAATATCATAATGACTACAAATCATCCAACTCATATCTTGAACTAGATGAAGTTTAATTCGTACTTCAACAACAAATCGATATAGATATTAAAATACTTGTTTGATGAGTTTCACTTGCATTTCTCTAACAAGTGAGATGGGACATGTACCAATAAACAAAAAAGGAAAAGATGAAGAAACAAAGAAAGAGGGGTGAAGAATGGATGGATTAAATTAGGAATTGGTGATTATACTTTTGACTTTGCGGTAAGAGTGTATAGTAATAATACTATTATTGGTTTACCAAAATAGTAAATCAGGAGCGGGATTTAGGGATGTTGAAACTTGAAACATATGGGTAAGTTAAGAAGATTTTTTTTGTGTGTAAGTTAAGAAGATTAATTATATAAGAATAGTATTAATTAATTAAGTAAATATATGAAAAATCAGTAGTCATTTACGGTTCAGGGCTGTCACCAACGAGGCTCAAGAGTCGAAAGAGGCTGCTCGAGGTCGATGGAGGCATTTTGTAGCAAGGACGCGACGAGGGCGTCGCGAGAATAGGTGGGAGAATGTCACGTGTGGCGTTATGGAAGACCTAGTAGCATAGGATGCTCCTAGGATTCCCCATCTTGAATATGAGCTTAATGGTGCACATAAAGAGCCACATTATGAGGTGGTATAATGGTGTGCATTATGGGGGAAACTTAATAGGGTGAAGTAATGGGGAGGGACCATTATGAGGGTCATTGATGCCTTGTATGAGGAGAGCCTATATAAGGAGCCATCTCCCTCACTTGTAACTCATCCATCATTTTTGTGAGCAATACAACTATAGGGTTTTTCCCATCTTCTTGTGTCTTCTTCTTGTGAATTGAGTGAGTTTGAGAGCTTGTGAGAAGGCTGTCTAGCATCTCTAATGGAATTGAGAGCTAGGGCCGCACGACCAAGAGTAAGGCCGTGACAGTTGGTATCAGAATCTGGTTCTGAAAGAAGAACCGGTGTCCTCACTCCCCAAGAAGGAAGGTAAGAAAGAGCGAGAACCTCACCAAAGATGGCTGGATCAGAAGTCCATGACGATGCGAAGAAGCAACGTGGAAGAGATCCCACTCCGGGCGCAAGGTCAAAAGGTACGTCGAGCACTCGTGATCCTCTCAAGTCTCTAGAGAGGCGAGTCTCGAGGATGGAGGTGAAGCTTTCCGAAGATGTCGCCGTCATGGAGGATTTGGGAGCTAACTTCACCCAAATCCAAGGCGATGTTCAAAGTGTGGCGGCTAGAGTGATGAGTTTGGAGGTTGGCAATGAAGGGCTTCGAGATGAGCTTATGGTCCTCATCAAAGACACCATCTCCACCGCCATGAACGATGCCATTGAGGTAATGAAGGAGGCGGTTGCTGCAGAGGTGACCTCCTTGAAGGAGGAGGTTGCGGAGCTCAAAAGCGAGGTGACGCTTGTGAAGAGGGTCATGGCTAACGGACCTGCCATTGCACAACCTGCCTCAAACATGGAGATTCCAAGACCAAAGAGCTTTCAAGGGTCGAGAAATGCAAGTGAGTTAGAGAACTTCCTATGGAGCTTGGAGCAATACTTCGGAGCTTCGGGTATTCGAGATGAGTGTTTGTTCCCAATCATGGTTGTCACGCCGGTCGGCGTGCCACCGGTTGTACTGGGTTCAACCGGTACCGGTCATAAAACTGGCGTGACCCCACCGGTATGACCGGCATGATCGATATACGAATCTCTAAGTAAAATTACCTTATTTTAGAGAATTTAATTGATAAAAATTATTTTATTATTTATTTTATGAGTATTAAAGTTAAATATTGATGTTATTTGTTGGATTCAAATATAAATGTTTAGGTATTGACGTTAAATGTCATGTTTAAATATGAGTATTTATAATTTTATTTGTAATATTGACCGACATGAACCGGCACAAACCGATATGTGCCACCGATTAAACCATTCCACTTGCTAAACCGACACACTGGCATAAATGGGAACATAAAATGGTCAGTGGTCACCACTCACCAACACAAATCCATCACCATTCACCAACTTCTTTCTCTTTGCATTGTCTACTTTTTCTTTGGACTTTTCTTTTTTGCAAATTAGTGATTGTGACAATAAGCCCATTAAGGAAGAAATAGCCCATTAAGAAAATTAAGATTGTTGAATGAGGAAGGAATGGCTAGCAAGGCCCACAGATTAAAGCCCACCAGATCAAACGCAGGTCACGGAGCAAGTTTTGCTGACTTAAGGACCAAAATTGGAAGAAGAAAATTTACGAGGGCTAAAAATCTATGAAAGCAGACACATTAGGTCGTTTTTTATCAGAAGAAGATGTCGTTTTACCTCGGACGATCCATTGCTTTGCTCGAGAGGAGAAAGAAAGGCGATTGGGTCTCCGAAATTCGTCTGAAAAAGCTGGCCGACGATAGAGCGATCGGAATCTATACGCAAGCGGCGTATCCGTGACAGAGATCAGGTGAAGACGCTGAAGCGAATCCCGATTTCCCGCCAATTGAAGAAAGGCGGGAGGGGAAGGTGAGAATAGACGGAAGGTGTAGAAACAGCGGAGTTCAGGCTCTGCTTCCAGTTTCGATTATCGCTATCGCCATCAAAGTTCTGGTATTGTTCTCTTTCTGTGTCTATTTTCGAGCGGGCAAAAGGGGCGGGAGTTTGAGCTGCGGAAGTCCGAGTGTTCTCTGTTTGCAGATACGATTTGTTGGGTAGATTTGAAGATTTTAACAGCGATGAAGAAGTTATTGGAGTTTGGGAGGAAGGCGTTTTTCTATGCGAAAGTGCTTTCAGGATATGAAGAACGTGTGTGATTGCGAAGGCGTTTTGTGTGTTTGTTCCCAATTCAAGAGGAGCAGTCAACGATCCCAGTAGCAGGGGCAGCCCAACAAACTAGATCAACCATCGCGCGGTTGAAGGGTGCGATTGCGAAGGCAGCTATTGCCAAGTGGAATCGGGGGAGAAACAAAATCTTTATTCGCCGGCAGCTCTCGCCGTCCGCTTCCCCTTCGGCCGAGTTTCGACGGAGTCTTCTTTCTTCCCAAATTGGGTTTGGAATGATAGGGGGCTGATTTCATTAGTTTCTTTCCGTTTCCAATTTCTAATAAATCGACGCTGGAGTTCGTAATGATGACTGAAGCCTGAAGGTACTATTCAGAGCGAAACCATGTCGGAATTGTTGAATCAATTCGAATGCATTCTCGATTCCGATCCCCTCATGTAAGCACCGTCGTCAAATTCGATTCAGGAAGTTTCCCCTTCGTTCAATTTATTCGCTCAACCCTATGTTCAATTTTGTTTTCGGCTGCTTTGGTGTGCTCAGCAACGAAGTAGGGTTCATTCACCCTTCGCAATTTGCGACATTAGAGAAAGACCCTGAAGCTGGTAGCTCACGATCGGAAGCCTCGGATGCGCTGGATGGTGGAGATGGGAGCTTCTGGATTCGAGATCACAAACTGGGCATTTCCTCGGAGGTTGTTCTCCTATTGTACAAGGCTGCCAGAGAACAATTCATGAATGCAATTGCAGAATACAGGAAACTCGACGGCCTATCTCTTCCTTCTGCTGAAGCTCTAGGAATTGTGGTTATGAAATGCAGCAAAGCACTTGTGTTGTTAAGCCCTGATTTCGGGACTGCTTGGAATTCCAGGTAACCAATTTGAAAATTTCTATATTTATACGGGTCTGGTTGATTTGAATCGTAATGATCCGGAAATGGTAGATTCGCACCTGTGTTTTAAACCCTCTAATTGCAGCTTGTTTATGCCCAGTGTGCCCCTCTGTTCTTGTTTTTATTTTATTTTTATGAAGATGCAAATTGCAGAAAGTTAATAGTATCGAAGAAGACACAAGCGTCAATGTTCACTGACGAGCTCCGCTTGTCTGCCCTTGTCCTTTCGTATTCACCCAAGAGCGAGCAAGCATGGAGCCATAGGTAATATCTATGAAGTACTAGTTGATTCTCTTCCTGTGTTGTTGTTTATCTGCTGAACTGCATGAGTTGTTAACTTGTTCTATGCATTTTTCCTTCGGTTATTGGCAGGAGGTGGGTGATCAAGAATATGGCCAGAAATCGTACAACTTTGCAAGAGATTCTGAGGGAAGAATCTGACCTGGTGGAGAAGATAGCAGAGGTTTATATTAATTTCAAGAACTGCATAGTAGTGATTCGTGAAGGTTTAACAACTTATAAAACTAAAGAAGCATACTATTTCCTTGACAATTGCATTACAAAATTTTAAAAATTGGAAAAGAAAAGGGGAAAAGAAAGCATCATCTTTGAAGTTTATTAATTTCATGTTTGATTGTTGGATCTTTCCAGACATGACTAGGTGTATGCATGTATTGTTAGACTTTCATTTTTCACTCCATACTAGTGGCTTTGAACACAGCTCTGGTTTACTAATTCTTGGGCGTGTGTGCTATTGACTGCTACTCTAAACTTTTTCTGCCTTGCTATCTATGCAGAGATCAAAGATGAACTATCGTGCATGGAATCATCGCTGCTGGTTGGTTTCTTACATGGATAGAGAACAGGTTCGTTTCTTAGATTGGGCATGTTTTGTTACCTATAGTGTCATGACAACTTGGCCCTCATGTATGACTAGTATGGAAGAATTTCAGCCCACTGTCTTGAATTGGGCAGTTTAAAAAAAAAAAAAAAAACTTTCTTCTGGTTTTTATACATTCTCATTCTAAGAAACTTTTGTGGGTATTTTGGTTCATACCTGCTGATGCATTTCACAGTCATCTATGAGCTGCTTTATCTAGATGTCCTGTTTGTCAGCTTAAGCAAAAATTGCTTCTCCAGGTGATTCAGGAACTGAAGAAATCCAAAACGTGGGCTGGGTTACATGTTTCTGATAATTCTTGCTTTCATTATCGCATGGTGAGTACAATCCTTGAACATTTAAAAGAGAGTTCATGAGAGAAAGCTATGTATAATTTTACGAGTATTCATTCCACGACATTCCTAGCATCTTGTCACAGTTTGAGTTATCACCAAATTGCAGCGGCTAATCATCAGAATTTTAGAGGATTGCTGCCGTAAGCAAGAAGAGGGGTCGTGTGATTCTTGTGTTGAAGTTTATTTGATCTGGCAGGTATAATGTCTGAACTTTCATATTCACCGCCATCATTTATAATTCTTTTGTAATTAATCGAGATTGCACAATTTGTGAGTTAATAACTCTGATGCTGCTGTTTGTATCAGGAGGAGCTTGACTGGAATGAAGAATTAATAAAGCGTTATTTAGGAAGGGAGGTATTTTTCTCAAGCCCATTTAAAATATGTGAATATAGGGGAACTTGACAAACATGAAAATCGATTACTGCGTTCTGCAAATTAAAGTAGCTGTGGAATTGTTTCTGATCACTTTGTTTCTGATCACTTTGTTTCCATTGTAACCTGAACTCAACACAGAGTTTCCTCCAAAGCTAACGCCCACCCCAAATCCCTTTTTGTTCACAGGCTCTATGGCTCTACCGTCGCTTTCTCTCCTTATTATGGATAAGGCATTTCACAAGCGATGTCAACGACGTGTCTTCTCCACAAAAACGCCAATCTAGCATCCAAGTGAACGTCAGTGTGTTTTTGGATGAGGAGTTGCTCCTCGTCAGTTCATGCTCGGAAGGATGTGATGATGAGTTTGAAGATTTTGAAGAACAAGCAATTTGTTCAGCATCTTACATGTTATGGTTGACAAAGGTAACAAAATGTCTAGTTATAGTAGTTAATTGTGTTGGTTTCGTCAGGTGAACTAATTGCCTTGTGGGAATCTCTTTTGTACAGCAAATCCCTGAAACCCAGAAGTTAGAACTGAGAGAGAAGATAGAGAATGAGCGTCTGGACGCCATGTTGAAGTTGGTGTCCCTGAGAGGTCCTCCATTTGGGGCTATCTAAGATTAGTAAGTCTATTTGGCTGCCATGGACGCTGGAAGTGGATGGTATTAATGAGAGTTGTTATTTGCCATTTCCCGCCCACAGTTACGCAAAAAATGACCAGTATACCCCTAATAAATTTCTAAAACCTAAATGTCTAACCCTCCACTCCACTCTCCCTCCCGTATTCCTAAATCTGGCTGGCAAATTACAACCCGATCCGTTGACCCGACTCGAAAACTAGGAATTTTTGTAACCTAAAATCCGAATAACCCGTACTCATTCACAAGAGTAATACTACTACAAAAAATATTTCTAATGTTTTTTCACATAAATTACATACCCACTGTGTCGATATGCTCCGATCTGTGCCCCGTGAAAAATTACCCGATTTGGACTCGACCTGCCATAGTACGGGTATGGATATTGAGATACCCGCCCCGGACCTACCGTCATTTCTACTCGCGCGGCCATATTAATTAGGAAATATAATTGGATTTGGATGTGGGTTAAGGAGCAATTTTTGAAATTCTGATTCCCCCCATCTCTCATCTTCGGGATGGGATACGGTGACAACTAGGGCTGTAAGTTTGGTACCGGTATTTGGGATATACTGAATACCATACCGAATTTGTCTATATTTGGTATTACTGAATACACGTATTATTTTTGTGGGATTGAGATTGGGATTGAATTTCAATTGTTATTCGGTATTAGGGATTACGGGATTGGGATCGGTATATACCGAAATATGGATCAATATCGAAATATAAGCTAGTGTGTATTTTATCGTCTCAACTAGGCTCTCTCATTCACTACTACGCGACCATTAACCACCAAAAGTGTCATTTAATAATACATAGATCATTACATCACTATTTCACACTAGTATTAGTCGCCTCTCAACCTCAAATTCGTTAAATTAAAGATTACCAATTACAAGAACTTGAGATGTTAGCTCTAGGCAACTCAAGACTATTTGCTTAGTCTCTTTGCCCAAAATTAAACAATAAAATCTAATTTATATATTTAATTATTAATTACAAAGATAATTAATTATGTATTCGATAATACCGATTGGGATACCGAGGTACCGATTGGGATACCGAAATTATTTAGGGATTGGGATTGGGATACCGAAATTATTTAGGGATTGGGATTGGGATTGATTTTAGGGTGTAATTTGGTATTCGGGATTTTGGTATTTGGTATTGGGATATCGATACCGTACCGATTTCCACCCCTAGTGACAAGGGGTTGTGAGTTTGACAACCCACCTCCTCCCCATTGGATACACCCTCTCTCATGTCTCTTTCTTTTTTTTCTCCAAATTGATGGTTAAGATTAAACGAAGGGTATTTTTGGAATGGAAAAGATTTACCACACACAATCATTTACCCTCCCATATAAATTAAAAACAAAACCCTAACTCTTCCCACCCCCTCTCCCCCTCCTCCCTCTCTCACGCAGCCATCCTCCACCGCCGCAACCTTCCACCGTTGGCGCGTCCTCCATCGCAGCAGCCCTCCACTGCCAGCCCCACCACCCCTGTCTCCCGCAGCAGTCTGGAATGTGAGTGATGGTCCAATTCTCCTCACATTCCAGGCCATCAGCCTCATTTATCCGATTGGGGCCACTCAAGGCTGGCTTCCTACCTTTTCATCATTCGACTTTTCTTCAACAAATCGTTTCTTCGGCGTGGGACAATCTTTAACCTCTCCAACCACCTCCTGAAGAGCACGCTTTTTCCACCAGTATTTGAATCAAGGATATCTGTCCCCTATTTATTCAACTTCCAGATCATCTCCCTTTCAGAGGCTTGTGGCGAAGCAGGTCTCTTCATAACTTCATGTCCCAACGTCGTAGGGACACGAATACCCTCTCCACCCATGTTAAGCAGCATGTCGTCGGATTCAAAAGCCGCCACCACCTTCCCCACACGGCTTCAGATGGTTCTGGAAACATCGATCTGAACCCTACTTGGGGCGCAACTCTTAATCTCAAAGCATTGCTCGTCACCCTCCGAGAGAGACGTCTCCAAGTCCGAGAGAGCTTGATCTTTCAGCTGGGCATTCTCCCAAGACCGCGATGGCGAATTCTGGCCAGGCGGCGTCGAGGCAGAACCTAATGTCTCTCCCCATCCGCAATCACCATATCCTCCACCCGCGGAGTCGTTTCCTTCTCCGAATTGACAGATCGAGGCCGAACATTTCTCTTAGCCTGTTCCAGTTGAGTTTTGGAGCTCCTTAGCTGTCGGCGAGCGATCTGGGGAGGTTCCCATTCTTCCTGCCCTTCTTCATCGAAACCAGGCCAGCTGCCCGTGGTTTCACATTTCCCTTCCCCTTGTCATGACAAATCGATTCCTGACGTTGCATGGCTGTCATGGGAGGCTTCAAGGGCGGGAGATCATCTTCAAGAATTAATCTCCTACGTCGGGCCATGTCACGAGGGAGGTCAGAGTAAACTGGTTTCGCCTCCAACTCTTCCATCCCCTTCCCTAATTGCACAACATCCGACTTGTCCCTAGCAGTCCGAGACGACACCTGTTCGTCTCTTTCATGAAGCCGCACAAGCCTCCTCCCTGCATGGTGGGACACCCCATTCGAAGTATCCCTAGCCAACCGAAACAACATATGCTCGTCCCTTTCATGAGACTGCACAAGCTTTTTTCCTCGCAAGATGGGAACCCTGTTCTCGTCCAATACGAGAGGTCCTCCAATATTCCTTCTATGGCATTGATCTGCGGAGAACCCGGCCTACGTGAATCTTGGGCAATTTCTTCAGGGGGAAGTCACAAGGGCTTTTGCCCCGACTCGGCATCTCCTCTATAGTTCGCATGGAATGCACAGGAACCTCCAGTTGCTTCATATGATGACGCACCTGACTTGACTCATCGGGATTGGCCAACCTGACCTCCTCTTTCTCGAGCACCTACCCAGGTCTAGCTTTAGCATCCTTGTGCTCTCTGATGTCCTTGTTAACCCACACCGATTTTGATCCTCCGCGATACGAAGGGATTTCATCCTCATCATCATAAATTCTTGTCCCCAACTTCTTGGTGGACATGTGCGGGCCAAAATTTTCCTTCCGCGTGGGAGAGTCAAACGAGCAAACATTCATCATATGGCCGACTCGTCCACAATGGAAGCAAAAGGTGGGCAAGTATTCATACTTTAGGTTAAGCCAAAAGCAACCTGTTTCATCACTAGCGGCCATTAGTTGCGATCTCAACGGCTTGGAAAAATCAATCAGGGCCCTGACCTTGACGAAGCATTGGTCAGTGTCCGTGCAGGCAAACACACTTGCTTCTAGGACATGGCCAATTGTGTTGTTCGCCATCTTTCTTCCAAACTGCTTTTTACATCAATCTTCCTTCATGCCCCACATTTGGACACGAAAGGGAGTCATGACGAGTTCATTAAATGTTCGCTTCGTGATGTTAGATGTCCATGCACGGAGGTGGAGGATTTTATCTTTTATCATCCAGGGTGTTCTTTTCAGCACCCAATTCTTGGATGCCTCACTTGGCAACACGAATTCAAATAAACCGTGTTTCACCACCATCACTCTAATCCTTCCTTCCCCTGCCAAGGGACATTCAACGAGTCCTTAAGCACAAGAGCTTTGATGTCCATAAAACAGCCTTCCCACTAAAGCACAAGAGCTTTGAAAACTCGCAGGTTGGACCTCATCCAAAGATAATTGAATAATCTGGTCTTCTTGTACACGAGCCATTGCAGTCACTTGAAAACAATTACTTAAGTCGTTAGAACTCTGATGAAGCCCTTCATCAGAGTGCTGAGAGTCAAATGTTTGTCTCTCTTCATGACTTATGGAATTAGGTAAATACAATGGCAATGCTTTAAACAAAAGGAGGTCATTATTATTAGGTCGGGGTGACCCTATGTGGAAAGACAACTACAAACCTAAATTGGACGACTACTGCATGTGGACGAGGCTGCTCTCTGTCGTCGACAAACACACTCTTTGTTTTTCTGGTTACAAGAGTATGTTGTTGAGGGGATGAGATTAAATAAGCCCAAGAGTCGAGCTGCCACCCAAATAGGAGATCGGAGGTTGGGGTTCGGTTACGAGAGGTACGTAAGGGATTAAGATTCTGACTTTGAATAAATGTCTTTTTCTTAAAAACGATTGGAGGGGAGAGAATCGCACCGAATCCGGGCCCGAGATTAAGTGTCAGGATTCTCCGAACAACCGGATCCACACTTCTCCTGCCGGTATGCCTCGACGATCGTTTCTCCGGTCGTCACGAGAGGATTGACAATGGACCAACACCGGCCGATGTCGGAAGTTCAAAAACTTCAGCCAGACCCACACGTTTCTAGGGTTGACGTCACAAGGCTATTACCGTTGCTGCCGCTGGGAAGAACGTCCCCGACAAGAGGAGAGTGGTATGTTTCATCCTCTTCTCCTTCCAGGCTTGTCGAGGAGGGTAGCTTAGAACGCCACACCTCAATTTTCGATACCTTTGATCGTTTATTTTGACAGGAGGCTAGCAATTGAGTTTCCTGGAAGCATACGAGCTTCCTTTTTTTCCTAGTGATCCAACATCTTGATCTTCGTTTTCTTTTCTTTTGGGAGCTATGAACACGATCCCATATTCCATTGTTGGGAGAGATCGACCATGGCACTCGCATCCCCAGATCAATATCTGATCCTTCATTGTGAACACTTACACCATTCCATCTGAGTCCACTAACACCTTGATTCTGCACGCTAACGTCAAACAACACGAGCACCGCCGCGGCCCGCGAGAAGACTCCGGCTAGCCAAGAAATAGAAACCAAAGAGAGAGGAGAGAGCGTTTCATAACAATTTTTTTTTTTGTTAGGATCTAAATTTCAGTAATTTACTTCACTAGTTAATTCATTAAGGGGTCGTTTGGAAGTTGTGATTGTAAGAATTGTGTTTGTTGAATACATGTATTGTGCACAATACAATGTTTGGAAGTGCCAAAATGTAAAACCATGCATGCATTGTTTTAGGTAAGTCCCACCAATAATCACAAAAAATGATGCATTATACAATCTCAACTAAAAGTTGTGATTGTTGCTTTTAGATTTGTGTCAAACTTTTTCTTTTCATTTATATCCCAATAGTTTTTGTCTTATACTAAAAGTTGAGGGTAAATATTACATTTTCCCATAAAGTAACTTTATGTAAATCAATGCATAAAGTAGAATCTCAACAATCAAAGTATTGTTATAATGCATTCATTGTATCAATACATGCATTTACATTATAGTGATTCATTATAATGCAACGATTTAACATTAGCAACTTCAGTCAGCTAAATTACTGTTGGTATTCGCGCCAAGAGTATCCAATTTCGTGCTCCAAAATTCCCAATTCCCGCGTGTCACCACGATTCACTTATTAGTTATTAGGTTTTATTTTCCCCAAATCAATTTTGGGAGAACAAAAGAAAAGATTTAAGGGCCACGAGATCAAAGCTCCATCGCGGCCGCAGTAGCCCGCCAGTCATGACTGCCGGCGCCGGCTGGACAGTAAAGTAAGTGCAGCTTCTGCTTACTTTGCTGCTTAAACTTCAACCAATCATAACTCAGGCAGGTAAGGTTTCAACTCATCTAATTTCTCTCCATAAACCAAAAGGACGAATCTTTCTTACCCGCTGTTCAAAACCCAATTCCCGGAATTGCATGAACTGGTCGGCTTGCCGAGTGGGTTAAAACCCCCTCCTGCTTTAACTCCGCTCGTACTTTTCCCAGCCCGTCTTTGATTATTCGTGAATGGGATTGCCTGCGGCTTCTGTGAATTGGTTTTGCCCTAAATCGACATGGTAATTTCCACAAACAAGCTCCACAGCAGTACAATCGAACGAAGAGGATCTAACCAAACAACAGAGACCATCGATCATCACCAATGTATCTGAGATTCCCCTATGCTTGTCTACGAGAAAAGGAAGCTTTCTCAACCATCAACCATTGCTATTGCCTCTGAGATTACAACGCCTATGCATGTGTATAAGAGAAGGAAGCCTTCACAACCATTAACCAGCACCAATGTGGCTGAGGTTACAGCGCCTATGCATGTCAACAAAAGAAGGAAGCTTTCACAGCCATCAACCAGCACTGATGTATCTGAGATTACCGCGCCTGTGCTTTGCTACAAAAGAAGGAAGCTCTTAAAACGATCAACCATCACCGATGTATCTAACATTACAGCCCCTAAACTTGTCTACAAAGCTTTCCCACCCATCCCCTATGCTTGTCTACAATAGAAGAAAAGTGAAAAGGGGTAAGCACCCTTCCCCTTCTTCACTGAGTCACAGTGTGAATGATAGTTGCTCTTCGTCACCATCAAGATCGAATGTGGAGTTCAATTCGGTGTGGATGGGTAAAGAAATGGAAGATGATACAGCTGAGTGCTCTTCTTCCTCTGCATCTGATAGGGATATTGCATTTCGATTCTTGTAGGGGCTCCTACGTCCGGAATGCGAATTGGTGGCATGGCTTGTAGGCGGTGCAGGGTTTGTTCTCGTTCAGATTCCACAAAAAGGATGCTGCTTTGTGATGATTGTGAGGCGGCATTTCACTTGTCTTGCATCAGTCCTAAAATAAGCGTAGTCCCTGTCGATGAGTGGTTTTGTTATTCCTGTTTGAAGCAGAAGAAACCAAAGGTGTGGAAGGAAGCGAGTGAATGTGCTTATACTATCCATGGAGTGAGTGGATCTTTGAGATCTGTGTCTGCAAGTGGATCGGGTCCTGTTGACATGATGCTGAGTGATGATGAGCCATATGCTAGCCGTGTTCATGTTAGTAAAAGGTTTCAAGCTGAAGTTCCAGACTGGTCGGTGCAGTTTTGTAGAACGTATCATGTCTGATTTGTCAATCACAAGGGAAAGTGAGGCCATAATGCCTGTCCTATATATGCAAGGTGTTGATATGACTTGAATCGGACTATCAGCCGCTACGATTGGTAATCGGGATGGGCTCAATGTTATTTGGGTTCGGGTTATGGGCCTGGTCTGTAACCGTTTCATTTGCCAGATTGGATTAGGTTTAGACCCACATGGAGAAGTACTATAAATACTTCTAATACTCCTCTGTAATCTGTAATCTCCTCGATATAGTGAAACTGACTCTCTCTCGCCCGTGGACGTAGCTAACACACATCGTGTTAGTGAACCGCGTAAATCGTGTGTCGTGTTTTCGATTCACGCTTTCGTATTCTTGCTTTGTCGATTCCTGCGATTTCCCGATCCGTAACAGTGCGTTTATAACACAAGGGAACCATTTTTTTCTTCTTTTTTCACCTTTTTAACTGGAATGAAGCTAAGATACATAGATTACCAGATATGATGGTTTAGAATGCATTAAATTTGTTGGTCGATTGCTTCAAGGGATATAAGTTTCTTGCGGTTTCCATGTTTCTTATGCACGTCCTGGTGGAATGAACATCAATTTCTACTGTACCTTTTTCTTTCTATGTTGCTTTTACCTTTAGACCAGTTCTAGTTTTCCAGATTAGACAACATAACTCCAGTATCATCTGTTTAACCAAAGTCTTGCCAAGAGAATTCATAGTTTCATATATATGTAATGAATGTTAGCTGCAGAGATCACCACGAATTTGTTGAGTTTCCAGAAGGAATTCATTTATCTTCACTACTTCACTGGAGGACTGTAGTCTGGTCTCTAGCTGTTAAGTATTTCCTGTTAGCAGGATACTCAAAGTAAGCATTATACAACTCATACAGGACATCCATTAATATGGGATCTGAAGCATAGCAAGGATCCTGAACTTGCGCACTCGTTCTAATTGGCTTCCAAGCAGACAAGTCATATCTCTCGTGCTGGATATGGTGCCAAGGAAAGGAACGTATGTGGGAAGTGGTGCAGGTAGTTCATGTATTGTAGTATGCATACTTAGGTAAATGATATATAATTGATTAGTTTCATGTACATACATGTGATGACGGTCATAACAATGCTGATCAAAGCGCTGAAGTCAAAGAAAAATTGCAGTTGGAACTAATTTAGGATAGCCTGAGTGGATGCCTCCTGTAAGATAGCCAGATTTGAAGTAACTACTCGTAGGCACATTCCTTGTGTAATCCAATCTCTAGCTCAAGGAAGCCATCATACTCTGATTGTGTGATCATATCTTGTTGGACGTATTCCTTATACAGTCATTTGCTCTACTGGCAGACTGCCAGACACTGCAGATGTGCTTCTCTTATCTCTTTTGAACTGATATGAAGAAGTTTCTGCCGTAATTTAGGCTTTCATAGGTGTGCTTCAACAGATGAACTGCAGCTAATTTTCCATGCATTTAGATCAGTTACAAACAAAAGGAACTGGTAGTCCGGGTGTTGGACAAGATGGACATCAACAGCTTCTGATATTTCTGTTTCTTTGCTAGTCTTTTGAGTCTCGAGTGACTGAAAGGAATGTATTATGGCTATCACTTGTATAGCAACTTCCCCAAAAGTGAAAGTTTGAGTGTAAATTATCTGTTTATTGCAATAACTTGCACTTCGTTATATATAGAACATAAGAGTTACACAGCTTTAGAAAAAGGGTTGACAATGTATTTCATATTTGATGAGTTAAAAAATATCCTAAAAGACGGAATGCTAGGTAAATAAAATGTACAAGTGGTTAGTAGCTCATCTCAAACTGCTATACTCGCTGATAATTTGCTAAACTTTGTCAATTTTTCAATTAAAACCTTCGATGCCTAGATGCATATAGAGAAAAAGGTGCTCTCTGAAAGGCTTAACTGAGGTTTATCCAACTGTCGTAATCTTCTCCTTTAGCTCAGCAGTAGGCACATAAACCACCCTCTCTCGAAGAACAAGCGCCTTGGACCTCCTACGTTTGCTTATTGGTAGACTCCCCAGAAACTGCCTCATGTTCTCTAGGGTGTCTTTGGCTCTACAAAGTCTATCCATCTCACTCTCGGCAAGTTGATGAGACGGGGACTCCGAATATTTTGAGTAGGAATGCTTCTTCCCTGCACTTGATTTTTCTTCTAGCAGAGTCTTCAAGCTCGGATCATCACCCTTTTGGGCTTCCATCTGTGTGAAACAGGGAAAATGAATGTTCTTTCAATCGTTACACGAGAGACAAAACAAGGGTTATATAGCTGACAGCTTGATTCCAGTGGATTCTTGAATTATGATGTCCTAGATCACACTTGCTGAAATGCTTTTTCAGCAATACCTCACTATTTCCTGCCTGTGATTCAAGGGAAACTTCTTTTGGATCATTTTCCTTCAGCCCGCAATTAGATCTTAGCTTCTTCTTTGCGAATACATCTTTTGAAGTCCTTTTTGTCTGTACCCCGACTTCAGTTACGGCATCTGAAACTTCAGCGCCTCCACTCTTATTTTCGTTTTCTGTTGCTTCACCAGACAGCTTAGGGTTGAAATCACTGCACTGTTGGTGTTTTGTCCATTTGACATAAAAGAATCACCAGTAAGCTCCAAGGTTTTGAGAACAGAAGGTACACCATAGGAAATCTGTTGGCAAAATCAAGCACCAACTCACCTTTCTGGATCTCAATGCCAGGTACCTTGCGTTCTTGAACCATTTGCTGACCTGGAATTGCAACTCCAAGCGGTGAAAATCAGTAGGGGGGAAGGAGTAAATAACAGTAAGAACTATTTAGTCCACTCAGTTGGGTATCACCATCAATGCCAATCCCATACATAACTTCAATGCATTGGTTTGTTCATACCTTTCCAGGTTCAAGACCTAGCTCTTCTGAAAGCTTATGTTTAACTGTTCCACAGGGAAGTTCATTTTCCTCAAAAACCCGCCTTAATTTCTGCCAGAGTGCAAAATGTTGACATGACATTTCAGCAAAACTAAGAATCAGAACCGGGGAAAAAGGCAACAAGGGATGGAATGTTGGTACCTCAACTGCACTAGGTGGAATTCTCGATAGTGCCCTTCGAACTCGAGATTCTTTAGGAAGGTCCTTTTTTCCTTCCAAAGTCTCATCCTTTTTTGCTTGTTTTTTACGTTTGTAGAGAGTCATAAGCGTGCTTGCAGCATCTGACTCCTTTTCCTTCTTTTTCCTCTTGCTAGGACCCCAGTCTTCATCTTCACTGAGTTGGTCAGCTACAGGAGCATCTTTTCCAAACATTTCCTAATGCAAGCAGAAGTCCAAATGAATATGTTAGCAAGTAGAAAGTTTCAAGCCTTCTGGACTTTGTGGATATCCCGCTATTATATCTAAGGCAAAAGGATCTACCCGAATCTTTAAGATTTATAATACTCACGTCATACAATTTCCGATAATCAACTGCTCTGCGCTTTCTGCGGCCGCTCATGATTTCAACATCACTAGATTCATCAGAATCTAAGCTACTATATATTGACTGGTTTCTGAATTCTTTTCCCTCCACATCCCATCTTCTGGATCCAGAAACAGCTTCATCATCTGAAGACCAACCCAAGCTAGTGGAGCTGCTAGCAATATCCGACTCATCATTATCCGTTCCTGCACCATTCATGCTATTTTCCCTCCTTTCTGGATCATAATTTTCATCCTCAGTGTCATCCGAGGGCCATTCCTCTTCAAGAATTAAAATGTTCCCACCATCAGGAGCTGCGGCCTCTTCCTCGAAAAGATCCTACTTCAGCAAAAAAAAAAAACCCCCCATATTTTAGTTAGAAAATACCCAAAGAAAGATATTTTATGGTCCTTCTGTCCACTCAAACAACCTGCCATTCGCAACTCGTTGAGTATTGGGTTCCAAGGTGTGCATTCATTGAGTCCATGATTTCCATTCTACATTCGCAGAACTTGCAGAACCATCCTTGGTCTCCAGGGGGTACTGCAAGAACTCGATAGAGCAAAAGCATTAGGAAGAAGCTCACTCCTTTTCTTTTTATCCAAATTCAAATCACAGTATACGACAATGGATAGATTACTGTTTTCGGTGTGAAGTGGAGGTTCAAGGCACATTTGATGGAAGGCACAATTGCATGTCCCATCACAGAGTATAATGTCGTTATCCGGGACCACGTCATTTGATTTGCACTTTGCACAGAAGATCTGAGCATGATAAGTAAAAGAAAACATGAGTGCACAAAACTTATGATACTCCTGGCCATGAACAGAAATATACCATTTGTGATACTGATTATGCATGCTTACATGTTCATGGGATACTGATCCATCTGGGGCCATAACTGAGTCTTCAATACATCCAACTGCACTAAGCAAATCAAGTTGGTGGATTGCATCCCGTATTCCAAGTTTGCACTTCAAAATCTGTTTTTTTGCTCTTAGTAGTTCCTTCTCTGGCCTGATCTTCTCACGACTGCAGCAGAATTTCTAGTGTAAGAGTTAAGCGCACATAAGTTTCCCTTCAGCAGGCCCTTCTTTCAGTTGCATATTCCAAAAACAAGCATACCCAACTTTGATTCTCTCAGGTATGTTTCAGGGAGTCAGAACTCAACTCGAAATATTTAAGGCAGATACATTGGTGAAGCTCATATAAAAAGAGGAAGTGCCTTAGGAAATGTCTGTTGTTTCTTTCCTTTAATCATTTCCAATTAATACCCTAAGTTGGTGTAACAAAGATTACAGTGTCAATGGCATCTGAATCAAACCTAAGTTGGTCTGGTTAGTGTTGATCTATTAAAGAACTTCATCTGAGAAAAGTAGCTTCTTCACAAACTTAAGAAGCTTAATAAGATACGAATTTTTCAAAACCCATTTTATATACATATTCAGAAAAATTCACTAAAGCAGATTAATATCTCATAGAAACACTTTGATCTTTTAGTTATTAGTTATAGTTTCTCAAAATCAACAGGAATGTGAGAGAAAATATCTTACCTTTGGCCTTTCCATCCTTCACCAGAGTAAGCATCTATAAGGTTCTGCTCCATCTTCATTTTAATCATCAAGTATCTTGTTCTCCTCTGCAACCGTGATGGTTCATCTAGCTCTACATTATTCCTTCGCCTTCCACCTATCCTTCTCCTTTTAAATTTTCTCTTGGCAGTCTCCTCCTTAGGATTCTTGTCATTCAACTCAGGACAGATAGCAGTAGACGGTTCTGACTTCTTCCCGGACCTTTTATGAAGTGGTTTGCGTGCACTTTTACCCCGAACCAACTTTCTAGACCTAACACCTTTCCTGGTCACCTTACTTGGAGGACGAGTAACTTTCTTTGATATTTGTTTCTTACTGAGGGCCACCCTGCTACCACGTCTTGACTTCAATGATGCAATTAACAAGGATCCAAATTCTGACTTGGAGAGAGTAGGTTTCTTAGATGCCTGGTCTGCTACTTTCTTCGCGATGCTATGCATATCAATATCTCAGATTTTAGAGCTGAAAAGAGTAGGACAAATATGTAAGCATAAAGAAGCATATAACAAGATGCAAACTTTGCAGCTGAGCTTCATCCTAGCAAAGCAAATCTATAGCCTCTCCATACATTAGCAAATGCGTTGATAAAAAGGAACCCAATTCTTGAAACTATAAGCACAACTTAGCAATTACTTAGAGAGAACACATAAGACCGAGATCATGACAATTGGTAATTGATCCCTATAGAAACAGTATAAAATAATGAAACGAAATATCACATTGCAGCGCTGCAAGCTTTAGTAAGATCAATTGGACCAGCGGTGGAGGAGTTGAACGGAGAGAAACCGAAAATGAGCAGCCACATTACATCTGAAGAAACTAAAGTATATATGCGAGGAAGAAGACAAGGGTACCCTGTAAAACTGGAGAATTTGGAGGCAAGATCGATAATTGAAAGGGCTTGCAGCTGTTGTAAGAGAAAAGGAAGCGAAGAGCGAGGAGAAGGGTTATTGATCTGAAAGACCGAGGGGAAAAATGCTCGAGCTTTAGAATTTGAAATTCTGGGGATTGTGAGTTGAAGGAAGAAGAAGGATTTGACCTGCTGATGGGGGCTTTCGCACAACAGAAGATGATTGATTGGATGCAGGAATTAGACGATGGGCGATGGTTCTGTCTGCTTCGCTTCTGCTTCTGCTTCCTTCCTTCCTTTCCTTTCTGCTTCTTTACCAACCTAATTGATCCCAATTATAAGAGGAAAAGGATTTGTGCTCCGTAACTGAAACGGGCCGATACGCCTTTGGGTTATTATATATAAGTCCACATATAAGTTGGATCGCTCCAAAGTCCAAACAGTTTCCTGGTCCAATAAGCCACTCGCCCCAAGCCCAAAATCCTTCCGGTCTCTCGCAGTACGCCTCGCGGGCTTCTGCAATACAAACCCTAGATCCACCCCCGGCGGAGATCGCCGGAGCTCGGCCTCCGGGCTTCCCCCCATCTTACCTGATCGGACATCGCTTGCTGTGTCTCCCGTCTCTCTCGCCGCAGGTAAAATCCCAATCGCTCACCGTAATTCTGTTCTCCTTATTTTCTATATAGTTTCTTTGCGCTGTATATTGTTCGTATTCGTTGAATTTTCCGTCGAATTTTTCCCGCGAAATTTCTCTGGCGGGAGAACTGAATGATGTTTTCCGCGATGCGTTACTGGGTAACCCTGTTTGTCTTCCTTCATGGTTGTGGTTTTCTGGCTTGTATCAGATAGGTTTCGGGGTTGCGATTTTTAGGGGCTAGCGCCTTTTGCCCTCTTGTCTCCCGCCGTTTTGCTTCACCGGCGACTCATCTTTCCTCTGTTTGTTTTTGCTTTTCGTTTCCGGCGGGCTAAGTTATGTGGTGTTGCATTTTACATTCATCGTGATGAGTCTACATACTTGAACTTCTCTGAACGATTCGAGTTGTTCGGATTACTTCGTGATTAATAGTGAAGCATTTTGTAATCTGCGATTTTATTTTCGGATTGTGCAAAATTCAAACCCGATTGGAATGTGAAGATGCGTATTAGTATGTGGTATAAGCTCTATTCTTAAAAATTTTCTTGACACATGCTAGACATAACATTCCAAAGCCCCACTCTTAGACTGACCAAAGTAGTAGCATGCTATTCCAGTATTCCTCCCATTGATGCTGCAAAGCTTGCTCCATCTCTCTTTTGCTGGTCCATCATGTGCCAAAGTTTCTAACTGGTTAATTTCTTGGTGTTGTTTGATTGATTGGCCAGTGAATCAGTTTCTGCTGCAAAAAAAAAAAAAAACAAAAGATGGAAATCAACAGTCTCGTGAATCGCCTGTCTCATCTCTGCATCAAGAACCCACACATCCTCAACGTCCACCCATTCCTCGGGCAATGCATCCCCCATCCTTTCACCTCCATGGCGAACGACGTGCTCTCTGCAGGACGCAACATCATTCAGAAGATCCGCGACAACATAACCTTCATCATGGCTTCTGAGTGGCGCGTGGATATGTTCTTCGATCTCAAAGTCCAGCTCCAGGTCCCCGGGGATGCAGGTTTGCTCTTTGAGAAACCGAGCCAGTGGAGCACGACGTATGAGATGCTGCAATCCGCTTGGGATACGAAAGAAGTCTTCTCCTGCTTGGACACTCTTATTCCTGAATACGGAGAAGCCGATGCTCCAACCACGGAAGATTGGAATCGAGTTGAAATCATCTGCAGCCACTTGAAGTCCCTCGTCGACGCAACGAACTCGCTCGCCTCCTCCCCCCCTTGCCCTGCTGCCACATTGTTACTGAATGCCATGTGTGTCCGCTTGCAGATTGCTCAATTTGCAGACAGCGGCGATCAGTTCGTCCGCAGCTTCATCGACCCGATGCAGGGGAAGATGGAGGAGTACTGGAAGCAATGTGGTGTGGCTCTCGCGATTGCTGTAGTCATGGATCCTCGCTACAAAATGAAGCTCGTGGAGTTCAGCTTCCCCAAAATCTTTGGAGACGAGTCGTCTTCTGTCTACGTGAAGATGGTCGATGATGGGGTTCATGAGCTCTTTGCTGAGTACCTTTCGATTTCTCCACCACCTCCATCCACATCTAATTACGGCTGCAGTCAGGGAGGGAGTGTTTCGGAGCACGGGCTGGCGGATTTTGATGTGTTCATCATGGATACGACGACGACGAGCCAGCAGCGGTTCAAGTCGGAGTTGGACCGGTATCTGGACGAGTGGCTCGAGGATCGGAGCTCCGATTTCGACGTGGTGGAATGGTGGAATCGGGACAGTGTGAGGGTGAGGTACCCGACGCTGTCGAAGATGGCGCTGGATATCTTGAGCATTCCTGTGTCTACTGCTTGAAATTGGAGTTTCTGGGACTAGGATACTGTTTTGTGGTTTCTGTCAAGTTTTTTCTTACAGGTCCTATCTAGAGGGTGTTTTTTTTTTTTTTTTTTTTTGAGTTTTGACAGTTTTGCTCTAGTCGATTTCAGTAGGAGATTCATTGTTCTTAGTTCAAGATCGGTTAGGCTCATTCGTTTGTTCACTCATTGGATAATTTGTAGAGGGGGAAATATGAAAATATAGTAATAGATAGTTGATTACAAAGATTGAAAAATAAAAGCGATAGTCAATACTAATTGAACTGTCGATGAAAGAGCATTTTTTGTCACGAAATGGGCAGCTCTGTTAGTTCCTAGAAAAAGTATGGCGTCAGCTTGATCCGCTCGAGAAGCACGACTCAAAAGAATAACCTACATGGTAACATTCAAAAAACCGGTACAACATCAACAACACCACAATGCCAATGTTGCCTCCCCCTATTTCGCACTAGTGCTCCATCAAATCTCATCAAAAGGCCATCTAGTGGAAAGGACAGAGTCTCCACCAAATGATTATTTTGCAATTGAAACTTCACCGGCAAAATGAGCAAACAAAAAGGCCCCTACAACTACAAGGACAATCCTGACCAATGAGCCAACAGGACAACATGGACACAAGGCACCTTTTCTCCCTTGAAATAGTGAACCAGGCCATCGGGAAACTCTAGATAATCGGCGCCGATTACAAACCTAAACTTTTTTTTTAATAAAAGGTTACAAACCTAAACTTTTTTTTATGAACAAACCTAAACTTGAGATATGACTAAAAAAAATGGTTGCAATAATAGATGAAAAACGATGCAATACATAGAGAAATTAAAATTGAAAAAAGAACAAATAAATAATAATACAAATAAAACTAATAATTGTAGGAGGATAATTATCAAAAGAAAACAAATAAATATTACTAATAACAATGAAGGATATTGAATAGATAGGAATACTTAGTTGAATCGTCGCCTGTTGGTATTGCCACACAGCCCCGGACTTGTAACCGTCGCGTCGGTGCGTCGGTGGGCACACGTAACATTTACCACTTCTTTATGCATTCATAATCTTCCAATCAATCCATTCAAAATTGCAATTTCTATGTGGATTTGTAAAAACGTAATAGTATAAGCTTTAAAGTGTAAATTTTAAAAGTAATATTTTACTAGAAGCATTTTTGGTGAACTAAAAGTATAAAAGCATAGGTTTTTAAATTTTAAACTGCGATTTTTACTACGTTGCTTCCAACAGATATTTCGAAGGATCCTGAAGAGTAAGATGTCTTAAGAAGCAAATATCAATGATCTTAGATGAGATGATTAAGGTAAACCTCAATCTCTTTTGGATTTTATCTGTCGCTGTTGGTCTTGCTTTTGCTGTGTTGCAATTAGCTTCGATCTCCAACTTGATGGCACGGGCAAAATTACTCATAAAGTAGAATCAATCTCAAGGAGGTAGGATTGCGATGTCTAGCTAATTCCCCTGAGACCTCATGTAAGGAAGAACTTTCCTCGCTTGTACTATAGATCGAGTAAGACCTATATTAATTTTGTATTTCCAAGTACGAGATGACATGATATGCGTGTTTGCAGCTACAACAATAAAGTAAAATCTTATACCGGCTTCATTTTTGATAGACGATTTAGCAACAAAACACTGGATCCACCATGCTAATCAAACCAAACCAAACCAAACCTGACCGGTTCACAAACTAAACGGCACCGTTACATCCTCGCTTGGGCTTCCCTGGGCCGGTTACAGTATCAATATCGGAGAGGATACTTCCTTCTCCGCTCCGTTTATACATAAATAGAGAGTGATTAGTTGGACCGCTCCAAAGTCCAAAAATCAAAAAGATTTTTTACCCAAAAGAAAAAAAAACCCGAACTCGCCCCTTTTATTATCCCTGGTCCAATAAGCCGCTCGCCCCAAGCCCAAAATCCCTCTCTCTCTCTCTACACTGTCGGTCTCGTCCCTCTCTCGCTCTACGCCTCGCGGGCCTCTGCGACAAAAACCCTAGATCCAACCCCGCCATAGTTCGCCGGAGCTCGGCCGCCGAGCTTCGCCCCCCTCTTATCTGATCGGACCTCGCCTGCCGTGACTCCTCGTCAAGTCCTCTCTCTCTCTCTCTCTCTCTCTCTCTCTCTCTCTCTCTCTCTCTTCGCAGGTAAAAATCCCTAAACCCTAATTTTGTTCTCTTATTTGCTCCCCCCTAGCTTCTCGCGCTTCCCTTTTCTCTGTGTTCGCTGTATCTTCAATTGATTGTTGCGCTGCCTTATTTCTTCGCGCTTTATGTTTTTCGTATTCGTTGCGGGAAAGCTCTCTGGGCGGGAGTTCCTGGCGTTTTCCGGGGAGTCTTATTGGCTTCCTTCTTGGTTGTTCTATTCGGCTATTCAAAATTGTTTGGGGATGCCGATGTTTTTGTGGGTTTTTTCTTTGGTACTCGTCGTCCGCATATTTGCTTCCCCGGCGACTCGACTTTCAGGGATTTGTTTTTGGGTTTCGGCGTCGGGAGGCATGAGGGCGGTGTGTGAAGTTGCCGCTATTGCCTTCTTCTACGTTTATATGGTGTTGTAGTGCTATTCACTGAGCTGGGTCGACGACTCGATTGCTAAAACTCGTCAATTATGGGCCTACCTGATAAGACATAGTCTCATAGACATAACATTCCAAAGGCCCATCTATTGTCGAGTTGTATAGCAAAAGTCTATAGCTTTCTCTCTGTTTGCTCTCCACTCTTAGACAGGCCTAAGTAGTAACTAGTAAGTAGTACCATCCTGTTCCTTCCATGGATGCATCGGAATCTCTTTTCCTTGGTTGTTTCAGGTGTTCAATATTATTGTTCTGGTGTTTTAAATACGTGCTAATGTTTTTCTGGTTTTTTGGTGTTGCTTGATTGATTGGCCAGTGAAAGTGGCTTTGGAGAAAAGATGGAAATCCCCGAAGAGAAGTATGAGCTGACACCCGTGGAGAAGAATGTTAAGCCAGCAAGGCGAAGGAAGACAAAGTCCCGTGTCTGGAATTACTTCACAGTCGAGAGCGTCAGCTCGGAGTGCAAAAGGGCGTTCTGCAACACCTGCAGGAGGAGCTTTGCTTACAGCACGGTACAAGAGAATGGCAGCACGAAAGTAGCCGGTACTAGCCACCTCAAGCGCCATCTCGAGAAGGGAACCTGTGGAGCCACAACAGGGCTCGATAACAATAACGAAGGCGATGGTGATCAGACTACTCCTTTTACTCCTTCAACCAGGACTCGTCGGACCAAAGCCAATAGTGCGTCTGGTGCAAGTACAGGGGTCAGCGAGTCGAGAAAGCGCCGCTACAGATCTCCTGCCTACACGGCGGTGTTCAATCCTGATATCTGCCGCCATGACATTGCTCGAATGATCATCATGCACGATTACCCTCTTGACATGGTCGAGCATCCTGGGTTTCAAAGTTTCGTCCAGAGTCTTCAGCCACAGTTTGGTGCAGTCAGCTTCAAGACCATCCATGGAGAATGCGTCGCATCTTACTTGAGTGAGAAGCAAAAGGTGACGAGGTTGATTGATGCGATGCCAGGGCGAGTCTGCCTTTCTCTTGACATGTACATGTCGAGAAACAGCGTGGGTTACGTGTTCATAACGGGCCACTTCACCGACAGCAATTGGAAGACCCAAAAGTTGATTCTCAATGTTGTCCTCGAACCATATCCTGATTCGCATAATGCCCTCAGCCATGCCGTTGCTTGTTGTCTCTCCGACTGGAGGTTAGAAAGCAGGCTCTTTTCCCTCACATTGAACCATCCAGTGCCTGAAGCAGGGCTGGAGAATCTCCGGTCTCATCTATGCGTCAAGAATCCACTCATACTCAACGGTCAGCTCTTGCTCGGGCAATGCATCTCACAGACTTTCACCGCCATGGTCAATGACATGCTGTCTGCGGGACGTGACATCATTAAGAAGATCCGTGACAACATGAAGTACGTCACCACTTCGCAGAACCACGTGGACATTTTCGTTGATCTCAAGCGGCAGCTTCAGGTCCCCGGCGAGGTACGTTTGTTCCTTGACGACCAGAGTCAGTGGAACACGACTTATCAAATGCTAGTGTCTGCTTCAGATCTAAAAGAAGTCTTCTCTTGCTTGGACAATGTTATTCCTGAATACAAACTAGCTCCGAACATGGAAGATTGGAAGCAGGTTGAAAGCATCTGCACGTACTTGAAGTCTCTCTCCGATGCAATGAACTTGCTCGTCTCTTCCCCTTGCCCTCCTGCAATCACACTGTTCCAGGAGGCGTTTAGCATCCACGCTAAGATTGCTTGTGCAGCAACCAGTGGCGACCCGTTCGTCTGCAGCTTCATCAAACCGATGCAGGACAAGATAGAGAAGTACTGGAAGGAATGTGGGTTAGTTCTCGCGATTTCTGTAGTCATGGATCCACGCTTCAAAATGAAGCTCGTGGAATTCAGCTTCTCCAAACTCTTCGGAGAGGAGTCTCCTCTCTACGTTAAGATGGTGGATGATGGGCTCCACGAGCTCTTCGACGAATACCTAACGCTTCCTCTACCACCATCGCCAGCTTACAGTGTCGATCATGGGAATGTTGATCGAGCGGACGAGCAAAACCAGGGAGGCAATCTTTCTGAATACGGGCTGGCAGATTTTGATATGTACATCATGGAGACGACAAGCCATCAGTTGAAGTCGGAGATGGACCAGTATCTGGACGAGAACCTCGAGGGGCGGAGCTCCAATTTCGACCTGCTGGAATGGTGGAAACAGAAAAGGTCGAAGTACCCGACGCTGTCGAAGATGGCGAGGGATATCTTGAGCATACCTGTGTCAACTGCCTCGCCCGAATTGGTGTACAGTACCAGGCCAAGGGAGCTGAGCCCGCATGCAAGGTCAGAGACTTTGGAGGCGCTTGTGTGTACTAAGGATTGGTTGCAGCATGGGTTGCCGGAAGATTTCGCAGGATTAGACAGCTTGGTGGTGTCGGATCTTTCGAATCCTGCCTTGAAAATGGAGTTCTAGGACTAGGATACTTCTCTATGGTTGTCGCATCAAATTTTCACAGACCTTGGTATTGGGGTAGGGTGGTATTTATTTGCTTTCTTTTGGCATTTTCTTCTAGGTATTTTAGTAGGAAATTCATAGTCATTAGCTCATGATCGGTTAGGCTAACTGTTTCTCATTTCGATTTACTATTATTGTACCATTGGGATGGAATTGAAGAAGGAAGTTGATGGATTTGCTTGGACATGGTACCTAATTATGGCTTCTGTTGCGTGCTTGTGTACATTAACATAATCTGTCAACATAAATTTCTCAAGGACCCAAAAGGAGCAAAATCAACAAGTATTTGAGAATTGCTGTTCTGTATTCTAGCTTGAGTTTCGTGTTTGCAACATCAAGTGGAAGACTGGATCAACAAGTATTTGGGAATAGCTGTTTTGTGACATGGCTTGAGCATGGGATCCAATGTTGCAGGCGAATTTGGTCATAAAAATTCGACGAAATCAGCAGTTCAGAGAGTCCAGATTCCCCTAGCTTGCTGTTGCGTTTTCTTCAATTGTTCTCTTTATGATACTGCTATACCTTCCTCTACATTATCATTCTACCACTAATCTCTCTTTTGCAGCGATCTGTCTCCTACTGCTGCAAAATTAGGAAGGGTCATCAGCCAGTGTATATAGGAACCGTTCCAGGGACGAAATCTTATTCTGAACAATATCACCCAGAATAGGATGTTAACTTGTCATATCATGGAGTTACGTTTTATGATTACCTTGTAGGACACAGGCAGCATACTTCAGAAAGAAATATGTCCCTGTTCTCCTTCAGTGCTGGATTTTCTTTTGAGGTGTTCCTTCATCACATGAACCTACATCGCAGATAAGAGAGAACACTGTTCAATAACAAGAAGAAAGCAGGCTTCAAGTGTAATCATCTTATCTTAAGAAATGAACCCAGGCATAAGCAGACAGATACACACTGAGGAATCCCAGCATAAACATACGAACTGCACCATTCTAGTGTGCACGGGATACATCTTGTTCTGCAAGCAGTTTTCTACCATCCTTCGCTTGTTCCAAGTCTTTCAATGAACCCATAGCAGCAACAGTCTTGTGCTGATCGGAAGGGAGCTTGTCCGAAAGCCCTTAAATGAAGTATATTATAACAGCCGTCAATATTTCAAGAACCTGCGAAATTATAATTGGTCAAGGGAGGGCAGAAGATTCAAAGGTGGCTGTTGGCTTTAGCATTTTGATTCATTTCACAAGTGTTAAATTTTTCTGCATTACTACTAAACAAGGACATGCCTGATAATTTTGTTTGATTAGGTTGTGCAGTCTTTAGCTACCTCTATAACTCATGCCACTATTTCATATGCCAGTCCAGGTACTATATGTATGAATTATTACCCTAAATCATTTTCGTCAATGCTCACCTCATTACCTGATGTGGCAGGATATTCTTGGATAACAGCTTAATACACTTCATTGCGTTTTCATTTCATGGAAAAGCTGCAGCAGAAACAGAATTTCCTCCATGAATTGTGGTCAAGCTGTCACGGATAACCAATCACTGAAGTTAACTTCAGTTCCCGAAAGTTATCCAACTCTGCCCCGAGGGCTTAACCGACCCTCTGCGTTCCATTTCCTTTCTTGCCTTTACAGCATCATCCCATCTACCAGCTTCTGCGTATATATTAGACAAAGCCACATAATGTCCTGCACGTTCGGGTTCCAGGTGGATTAACTTCTCAGCAGCAAGCTTTCCAACTTCTACATTTTGCTGGTCAAGGCAGGCTGCCAGTAAGGCCCCCCAAACAGACTTATCAGGCTCCAGGGGCATTTGATGAATGAAATTGATGGCAGCTTCTAGCCTACCTACACGTGCTAGCATGTTGACAATACATGAGTAATGTTCCATTGTGGGGACAAATCCATATTCTCCGGTCATGCTCTCGAAGAGTTTAATGCCCTCTTCTACAAGGCCTGAATGATGACAGGCTGATAGAACCGAAGTAAATGTGAGAGCATCAGCACGAACTCCCACCCGCTTCATGTCCTGAAGAAGATTCAAAGCAGCTTGTGCAAGCCCATGCATGCCAAATCCTCTGATCATTGCGTTCCATGTTACTAAATCTCGGATTTTCGATGTTGTAAACACTGAGTATGCGGTGTCAACTTTCCCACACGTGGAATACATGTGTATGACTGAATTCCAAACTGCAACACAATGATCGAAAATGTGTTTCATGGCATAGGCATGAATCTGCTTTCCATGTTTCAAATCACAAACTGGTAAAACAGTAGATATGGTTGTCTGATCATTCTGGATATCTGATCTCTGCATCTCACCAAAGCATTCGAGTGCTAAATCCCTTGACTCAGATTCTACAAAGGCCAAAATCATAGCGTTCCAGGCAACAACGTCTGATTTGTCCATTAGTGCAAACACAGTTCTAGCATAATGAACTGAGTCACATTTAGCATACATTGTCATTAAAGCTGGACCAGCTGATCTGTAAAATCTCCCCCCAGGTTGTTGAGTTTTGATACCATAACCATGGATTGCCTTCCCACACATTAAAGCACACAGATGGCGACACGAAACAAGGACAAGTGAAAGGGAATCTACATCAGGAAACATCCCCCCTTCATTCGCCATGTCCTTGAAAATTACCAAACATGTGGCATACTTGCCAGCTCGAGAATAACCAGATATTAGAGTGGTCCATGAAATGATATCGGGGGTTTCAATCTGTTCAAAAACTTTTGAAGCTTCATCACAAAGCCCCATTCGGAAATAAGCATCCATCAACATGTTAAATGTAATGACGTCAGGCTTAACACCCTCCAACTTCAAACCACCAAAAAGCTGCACAGCTGAATCTAGCAACCCATTACTAATGTACCCAGAAATCATTGAATTCCAAGTAAACAAATCTCTTTCTCCCATCTCTGCAAAAACCAACCTCCCACTCAACACATTTCCACACTTTGCATACATGTCGATCAAAGCATTGCACACATGAAAGTTCCGCTCGTAGCCAGAAACAACCACACCTCCATGGGCCCACATCCCTCCATCCAACCACGCCAACTGAGCACAAGCTTTCAGAACTTTTGGGAACACTAAGTGATCCGCAGAGACTCCTTGAGACTTCATCAACCGATAATTCACCAAGCAGTCCTCGTACATACCATGCCTTGAGAAGAACCCGAGAATCGCTGTCCAAGCAAATACATTTGGGTTTGGAAATAAATCAAACAGCTTCCTTGAAGAACACAGATCATCACAATCCGCGTACATTTGGATCAGCTTAGTCACCACGAACGGGTTACCACTAGACCCCAATGCAATGACATGCTGATGAATTTGTTGGCCTTGATTCAGAGATTTGGAGTTGCTGCACAGTTGAAGCAAGCGGGTGAGTTTGGAAAAAGACGGGCGCTCTCCCTCGATTCCTCCAATAGAGCGAAGATTGTTCGCCTTCCGCCATAAGCTCATTTCCTTGAGTTCGTGTAGAAAAAGTTGGATGCTTGATAGGAACCAATCAGAGAAAAATCAAGCACCAATTAACATCTCCCCTCTACTTCACGAATCAACTGGATATGTTCATAGGTGAATTGCAGGAAAGGCGATAACTTGACAACCATGTGAAGGAAATTGCCATGTTTTCTTCCCCCCCCCCCCCCCCCCCCCCCCCCTGTTTATTAAAAAGGGACGCATAATGCTTGAGAATATTCAGAGCTTATACTTAACCAACATCCAAAAGGAAAAATTGGAATTAGAAGATTTACCAGGCTGAGTGAGGTCGCAAGCAGTAGCAATTTCTTTCTAGGGGAGATTTCACCACAGTCCAAGCATGCTTCAGGTGTTTATCTCAGAAAAAAGGGGGAAGAAATACTTCCGATGGGCATCTGGGCTGTTTCTGGCTGCCAATAGTTCAATGGTTTGTCCGCCGTCGGCAGCCGGAGGAGGAACGGCTCCGCGCCTGGAGATAATTGCCGTTCGCCACTGTGGAACTCAAACTGCAGGTACTTTCAAGCCAATTGCTAACTTGCTATTAGGGAGGGCTTTTGGCCCACACAACTGAACCATTCCAGGGAGTGATAAAATGGGCCCATTTCGGCAGGCCCAAGTCATTCTACGAATAAGTGATCCATGGATAAGCTTTTTTCTTTACCTTTTTGGCAGGAAAAAAGGAAAAGAAAAGCGGGCAAATAAAAATAAACTGAACCGTACGATTTCAAAACCCTAAAACCTGAGTTTAGGTTAGAGCTCTTCTGTTGTGCGGCGATAACTCGATCTGGTCCATTTCTGTGAGAAATTTTCTCACTTCGCTGCCGCCGCCGATACTGATTGGCTATTGCTGCTTCAATTGATCGACAAACATGGCTTCCAAGTTCTGGACTCAGGTTCGTCACTCTTACAGATATTTTCTCTCTCTGCAATTTTTGTTCCCCTTCCGTTCTCAATCTGATTCGTGCGGTGTTTGTGTTGTTGTTGCGTAGGCCGGTGCTTCTGATTCCGATGAGGAAGAGGAGCAGAGCGAGTACGAAGACGAAATCGAAGATGCCGGCGGAGATCCATCGGCCGCCGACGCGAAGAATCGGTATCTCAGGGCAACCGATACCGACAGCGACGATGATGATGGCCAGAAGCGTGTGGTTAAGTCGGCCAAGGACAAACGATTCGACGAGATGACGTCTACCCTCGAGCAGATCAAGAACGCGATGAAGATTAACGACTGGGTGAGCTTGCTGGAGAGCTTCGACAAGATTAACAAGCAGCTGGAGAAAGTCATGCGGGTGACTGAAGCTGTGAAGGTCCCTAACCTCTACATTAAGTCCCTGGTGATGCTGGAGGATTTCTTGAATCAGGCCATGGCGAATAAGGAGGCCAAGAAGAAGATGAGTACCAGTAATGCGAAAGCGTTGAACTCGATGAAGCAGAAGCTTAAGAAGAACAATAAGCAGTACGAGGAGCTCATTAATAAGTATAGGGAGAAGCCTGAGAGTGAGGAGGAGGCTGATGATGACGAGGATGAAGATGCTGATGACGACGAGTCCGACACATTTGCTGAGGATGTCAATGCGATGTCCGATGAGGATGAAGAGGAAGATGATGGGAAGGACGACGACCAAGCTGAGGGTGAGGGCGGCTGGGAGAAGATGATGAGCAAGAAGGAGAAGCTCATGGATAAGCAATTTATGAAGGACCCTAGTGAAATTTCTTGGGATGTGGTGAACAAGAAATTTAAAGAAGTTGTTGCAGCTCGTGGTAGGAAGGGCACTGGAAGGTTTGAGCAGGTTGAGCAGTTAACTTTCTTGACCAAGGTTGCCAAGACACCTGCCCAGAAACTTGAGATTCTCTTCAGTGTTGTGTCTGCTCAGTTTGATGTGAATCCAGGGCTTAACGGTCACATGCCTATCAATGTGTGGAAAAAATGTGTGGTGAACATGTTGGTTATCCTCGATATAGTTTTCCAGCATAGGAACATTGTTGTGGATGATATGGTTGAGCCGGAAGAGAATGAAACACAGAAGGGAGCAGACCATGAGGGTCCTGTTCGTGTTTGGGGAAATTTGGTGGCCTTCCTTGAAAGAATTGATGTCGAGTTTTTCAAGAGCTTGCAGTCCACTGACCCCCATACTCATGAGTATGTTGATAGGCTGCAGGATGAGCCTATGTTTTTGGTTCTTGCTCAAAATGTCCAGGAGTATCTTGAGCGGGGTGGGGATTATAAAGCAGCAGCAAAAGTTGCTTTGAGGCGGGTTGAGCTTGTGTACTACAAACCACAGGAAGTTTATGATGCTATGAGGAAGCTGTCTGAACAAACTGAAGGTGGAGACAATAGTGACGAAAAGGCGGAAGAGATTAGAGGCCCACCTGCATTTGTTGTTGTTCCTGAGGTTGTGGCTCGGAAGCCCACTTTTCCTGAGAGCAGCAGAACAATGATGGACATGTTGGTGTCTCTCATATACAAACATGGAGATGACAGGACAAAAGCCCGAGCAATGCTTTGTGATATATATCACCATGCTCTACTGGATGAGTTCTCCATTGCTCGTGACCTGTTGTTGATGAGTCACTTGCAGGATAACATTCAGCATCTGGACATTTCTACTCAGATCCTTTTCAATAGGGCCATGGCACAGCTTGGTTTATGTGCATTTAGGGTTGGGCTGATTACTGAAGGACATGGTTGCCTCTCGGAACTATATTCTGGTGGAAGGGTGAAAGAGTTGCTTGCCCAAGGTGTATCCCAAAGCCGATATCATGAGAAGACCCCAGAACAGGTACTTTCGCATTTTGTTTTACTCGTCCCTAAGAAAGTCTTGCTTATTCTCTTACTGTTTCATCTTACACGATGTTTGTTGGTGAAGCATGATGTGTTCATAGGAGCGTGTAGTTAATAATATAAGTAATTGAGTGGAGCTTCGCCTTGTTGATTGAGATAATCTGAGGAGTTTGATGTGTATTGTTGACTATTGCTTTTTTGTTTGTGGGAACTAAACGGAGCATCTTTTTTTAGCCCAAGTGTCTGAACTAGTAGTTATGGAGGGTAAAAACCGTCTAGCCCTTTCTGGATTTGAACCTAGGTGCCTTAATTACCAGGAAACAGGAAGGCTTTGTTCAATTGCCCATAAAAACAGAAAACTCCATGACTTTATTTATGGAACTTGTCTGTGCATAGACATGGTAGTTTAGTAATGTAGTTTTGGAGGGTTTCCATGTTGGATATGTCAATGAGCTGAATAGTTGGATTAACCATCATTCTGTGGTTCATTAAATCATAAATTCGCAACTGAGTTCTCACATTACTAGCAGTGTCCTACTCTGAAGGAATGACCAGCTTTGAGAAATCTTCAATTACATGTTCTTTTTTGCTGTATTATCTTGGTTATGCATGTCCTCAACTGATGCTTATTTTTGTGAATAATTGATATACTAACAGGAGAGGTTGGAAAGAAGACGCCAGATGCCATACCACATGCACATCAATCTCGAGCTTCTAGAAGCTGTCCACCTTATCTGTGCCATGCTCCTCGAGGTCCCGAACATGGCAGCCAACACCCATGACTCCAGGCGCCGACTCATCAGCAAGACATTCAGACGTCTTCTCGATATTAGCGAGAGGCAGACTTTCACCGGCCCTCCCGAGAACGTCAGGGACCACGTGATGGCCGCAACTCGAGCCCTCACCAAGGGAGACTTCACCAAATCCTTCGAGGTCATCCAGTCCCTTGACATCTGGCGCCTTCTCAAGAACAAAGAGGGCGTCCTTGAAATGCTAAAATCCAAAATCAAGGAGGAAGCTCTTAGAACCTATCTGTTGACCTACTCCTTGTCCTACAATTCCATGAGCTTGGAACAGCTGATGAACATGTTCGACTTGTCGAGGGCCCAGACCCACAGCGTGGTGAGCAAGATGATGATCAACGAGGAGCTGTACGCAAGCTGGGACCAGCCAACTGAGTGTGTCGTGTTTAACGATGTCGAGTACTCCAGGCTGCAGGGTTTGGCGTTCCAGTTGACCGAGAAGCTCTCGGTGCTCGCAGAGAGCAACGAGAGGGCGATGGAGTCTGGTGGTGGCGGCGGGATGGATCTCCCGATGCGGAGGAGAGAAGGGCAGGACTATGCCAATGCTGGTGGTGGTGGGGGTAAGTGGCAGGATAACTACAATCAGCAGGGAGGAAGGCAAGGTGGCGGCGGTGGGCGTTCAGGAGGGTATGGTGGTGGTGGGAGATCTGGACAAGGTGGTGGTAGAGGCGGGTATAACAGGGGGAGCCAGGTACGAGGCGGCGGCTCTCGTTATCAGGATTCGTCGGCATATGGTGGTGCGCGAAGGACGGCTAGTTCGGCTGTCAGGGGCTCTCAGATGGATGGTTCTACCCGCATGGTCAGTCTGAATCGCGGAGGTCACCCTTAGACGAAACGAGTCGAGCCCTATCAGTCTTTCTGTCCCTCAAGTGAGAAACGAAGTTTTGTGATTTGGATTTTGAGCAACAGCCTTGCTGTGTTTTCCCGTCGAGGGAAACTTGAAATCAGGTAGCAGCGCGCAGGGAGACATTACCCCTTGTTTTTTTTTTCCCTTGGAGAATAATTTCAATTATTGTTAGAAGTTTGGACTGTTTTTAGAACTTGTGCTCTTTTTCTATTTGTAAGGTACTTAAAATCTTATTTATGGTCGTGGAAGTTTGGAGACTGGTAATTTTGTTTCCAGAAGTTGTTCTTGTTTGTGGGTCTGTTTTTCTCGATCTCTGTTGGTTTGTTTGTGCTAATGGTTGAACGGATTTACTACGACTAGTGGAAGTGGTAAGTCAGATTGGAGTGTGTTAGTGAGTCAATTTCTTGCCCAGCTGGAAGTCGTTGTGGGTTGTGGTCTCGTAGAAAATGTAGTCAAAATCACGTTTTATTGAGTAAAAAGCTATGCGTATACCCTTAATCTTGGACTACAAGGCAGTAAAGTTTGCTGGTCTTGTCGACGCCCAACAATTTGGTCATGTCGAAGCCCAACCTAAATTGGGCTTAGAAGCCCAGTTCAGAAAAAGGAAACCGAAAGATCAAATGATTGTGAATAAAAAAAAGAAATGTCGAAAAGAAAAATTGTAAGAAGAAACTCCACCCCGAAACTCGTTTCTTCTCTTTCTAATTCTATCCGTCTTCTTCTTCCTTCTCCTCCTTCCTCCTATTTCCAACTCCTTTCTTCTCTCTTGGCGATTCAGTCGCGCGCAGAGTCGCAGACGCAACGCAACTGGTCCTTCTCCTCTGGAAAAGAAAAATCTCCGGAGCCCGAGGAACCTTCCATTTCTCCCCTAATCCCTTTCTCCCCACTCGAATGAAATTCCAGCTTCTCGCTCCGTCTCTTCCCAGATTTCCGTGAGGGGGACTTAGGGTTTTCTTCACAGGTGCTCGAGCTTTCGAATACATTACTCCGCGCCTTCAGATTGCTTAAATTCAGCGGCCACGTAGTTGGATCTGCTCCATGGACTCGCGAGATTCGGCATCTCAATCCTCCTCGTCCTCCGTCGCCGCACCGGCGACCAGCGGTTCCACGTCCGCCAACGGGGAGGACGACGCCATCCTCTCCTTGACTGCTGCTCTCGCCAAGGATGCCGCATTGCACTTCCAGTCCCGCCGCTTCTCCGACTGCCTCGAGGTTCTGCATCAGCTCAAGCAGAAGAAAGAAGGCGATCCTAAAGTGATTCCTCTGGCCTCCCTGTCTGCTTGTGCTCTTCATGTTACGTTTTTGGCTTTAGTCTTCGACTGTGGAGCACAGCTAGCTGTGTCTTGTGCTTCTGCATTTGGACCCGGGGACTCATAAGTAGTGGTTGCTTTTTTCGACCTGGTGGTCTGCTCTTTGATTTTTGAATAGTTTGAACTGGGATTGGCGATAAGATGCTGCAGTAGTTTAGTGGTTTCTGGCTAGGGAGTAGTTGATATATGGACTGTGCATGTGAAGTGGATTGCGGAGTTTACACGGGTTGACAAGTGTTTAGATGAATATGATATCTTATGTATTTCAGACTTGTTTAGCCTGTCTTCCCAGGGTCGATTTTGGTATGCAAATAGTTCTTAGGAGAAGAGAATCATTTAGATCCGGAGCTGGTTGCTATTATTGTCTTTAATACACTTTCATCAGGGTCAGTGAGGTCCATCCGGGGGTATAATGGATAGTGATAATGAACTTTATGATAGCTTGTTGATTAGTTTGAATTAGGTGCATTGGGCGTCAGTTTGAATTGGATGGGTGGGTTTGTGACCATGGCCATTGTTGAAGTGCTCATCTCCTTTAATAAAAGTTTGATTTTTTGAATCCTTTATATCTGTGCTAGGTACTTCATAATATTGCTATAGCAGAATATTTTCGAGATGGTTGTTCGAATCCAAAGAAGTTGCTTGATTTACTCAACTCCGTGAAGGTATGGCTTCTTTTTCTATTCTCTACCTTTGTAGCTTAAGGTCATACCAACTCCCACTAGGTGTCTAATTTATCAGGCTGCTTATCATGCATGCTTATATCTGATCACACCCTTAAACTGAGACTTTTATCCTGTGAAGCTGTGAGACTTATGTATCTTATATATTTCTTCTAGTGGGTGTTTGACCATTGATGACTCTGATATGGCCCCAGTTTATCCTTGTCCCAGCCTGACATGTCACTTAGTGTACTACTCAGAGTTGACAGTTCCCTAGATTGATTGGCTGCTACCAATATTTTGTGCTTTCTTCTAATGAGTTTGATTGATAGAATGTTAGTTGATATATATTTATGTTTCATGGTGGTTATCTGAGGGCAGAAGAAAAGCGAGGATCTTGCAAATGCTTCCAGGGAAGCTGTGGAAGTTGGTAGCAATAGTGGGAACAAAGTCGCACCTGGTTCTAAAGGAAGTAATACGATGACACATCAGTTCTCTGCAGGAAATAGTGGGACACTTGTTTACATGGATGAATTTGACCCAGCTGTGGCAACGCTAAACATTGTGGGTTCTGTGATGTCTCCCATTTGATTTTTTGTTACTGGTTTACAGCGATAGGAAATGACATTTCCCTTTTGATTTTGGGAATTGCAGGCTATTATTTGGTATCATCTTCATGAGTATACGAAAGCCCTATCAGTTTTAGAGACTCTGTATCACAATATCGAGCCAATAGACGAGGTACTTTACTGTTTATTTGGAATTGTTCGTTTGGGTTAAACTTATAGTCCTGATCCCTGATCTTTATGTGCAGACAACAGCTCTTCATGTTTGCTTGTTATTGCTGGATGTCGCACTTGCTTGTCAAGATGCATCCAAATCTGCTGTAAGTTAAATTGTATCTAGATATGAGCCTTCGGTTTCTATGCTGCATACCCTCTATCACTAGTATCTTTCGGTCAGAAAACAGCTTATGTAAGCTGTTAGATGGCTGTTTTCTTTGCAATTCAATTAATAACCTTTTTAGTTGTTGAAGAACTTTACTGCCATTGAGGATGCTTTCTATATATTTGTGGCTTAGGCTAGCCTTATTGAACATCTTGTAAGGGTACATGAAGTATTTTATTGTTCTGCATCTGGGTCTTTGTTGAGTTGGAAACGTTTCATTAGCCATTGCTTATAGTTGTTCTTTTTATTACTGTTGTGCTAGAATAAAATTGTGGTCAGTACTACGAATTTATTTTATGTCATCAGTTTTGGCATCGTGTACTGTTACATTGTGGGATTACCTCTAATTGAGTGGTTCTATTTAGAACAAAATTTGTTGTTCTTGGGGCATTGTTTGCATGTTCCTCTCGACGAATCTTGACTTTTGTCCAAGTTTCATTTGTCTTTTGAGCGTTCATGTTCAATTATATTGTCTAGTTGAAAAATGTATAAATTAATATTTTGTTCTTTCTAATATTTTTCAGGATGTGCTACTTTATCTAGAAAAAGCTTTTGGTGTCAATACTGTTAGTCATGGTGATAACGGTAATGCACAACTGCAGCAATCAACGAATCTAGTTGCAAAATCTTCTTCTATTCCAACCAGTTCATCTGCAGTCGATACGTCTAATTCTGATTTAGGGGCTAGCGGGAGTGCCTTAGAAAGTTCGTTATCAAGGTCGCTATCATTATCAGAGGAGTCACTTGAGTACGAATCTGTGTTTTCGCTAGACATAAGTGCGCAGGGCTTGGGAAAGCCACCAGGCTTTTCATCATCTACTGATCTTTCAAGGACCTCAGGGGACAGGGCTATGTCTACAATCGATTTGAAGCTTAAGTTGCAACTCTACAAGGTTCAGGTTCTTCTTCTGACTAGGAACTTGAAACATGCTCAGCGTGAAGTTAAGCTAGCTATGAACATTGCACGAGGGAGAGACTCATCAACAGCCTTACTCTTGAAGTCTCAGCTTGCATATGCCCGTGGCAACCATCGAAAGGCTATGAAGCTTTTGATGGCATCAAGTAACCGAACAGAAATGGGGATTTCCAACATGTTCAATAACTTAGGTTGCATTTATTATCAGCTTGGGAAATACCACACCTCATCAGTCCTCTTCTCAAAAGCACTGAGCAGTTGTTCATCTCTTCGGAAGGACAAGCCTCTAAAGCTGTTAACTTTGTCACAGGATAAGTCTCTCCCCATATTATACAATTGTGGGGTGCAGCACTTGGCATGTGGGAAACCTTTGCTAGCTGCTCGTTGTTTTCAGAAGGCGAGCTTAATATTCTATAACAGGCCTCTGCTGTGGCTCCGCCTTGCTGAATGCTGTATTATGGCTTTAGAGAAGGGAGTAAGTAGAGCTAGCAGTGGTGCCTCTTCTGGCAAAACAGAAATCATGGTGCATGTTATTGGTAAGGGAAAATGGAGGCATCTTGCTGTGGAAGATGGGATATCAAGAAATGGATTTGCTGAAAAAGAGGGTCCGTCTCTGGGCGATGGTCAACCTAAGCTTTCAATGTCTTTTGCTCGACAGTGCCTATTCAATGCTTTGCATTTGTTAGACTACTCCGAACTAAATCATCTAAAATACGGGTTACCGTCATCTTTCTCCTTGGAGGAAAATGAATCGGGAGACACTTTGAAGAACCCGAATCACAAGAACTTGATAGGTATTGATGCCACAGCCTCGGCAGGCAACATGGGTCACACTAATGCAAATGGAGACGCAAAAGAGCAAAAAGGAGGAGCAACAAGCCAGGAAGTAATGCAGAACTCGATATCTCACTACGAAGTTGTCCATCGCAGAGAAAACCAGATGATTAAGCAAGCTCTTCTTGCAAACCTGGCATATGTTGAACTGGAACTTGAAAACCCCACCAAGGCTTTGTTGAGTGCGATGTCTCTCTTGGAACTACCAGAATGTTCAAGAATTTTCGTCTTTCTTGGACACTTGTATGCCGCAGAGTCACTCTGTTTACTGAACAAGCCAAAAGAAGCAGCTGAGCATTTGTCGATCTATCTCTCTGGAGAAAACAATGTCGAGTTGCCCTTCAAGCAAGAGGATTTTGAGCAGCTGCAAGTGGAGAAAAGTTTGGATTCGGAGGAGTCAAATGGAGTATCATCGGCAGCAGCACAGAACAAGTCTTCTTCTAATTCTGCAGAGGAATCACAAAGCATCGCATTCCTGAAGCCAGACGAGGCACGTGGGACCCTGTATGCCAATTTCGCCGCCATGTACGCAATGCAAGGAGAGCTCGAGCGAGCCTACAATTTCGTGACGCAAGCACTGACCCTTTTCCCAGGGAATCCAGAAGCGACGTTGACAGCAGTGTACTTGGACCTATTGCTCGGGAAGTCTGAATCGGCCATTACCAGGTTAAAGCAATGTAGCCGGGTAAGGTTTGTTTCAAGCAGTGTAGTATTGAATAAATCTTGATGTTGAGCGGTTCGGCTTCATCGGGTTTGTATCGGTTTGAGTCCAGCCGGGAGGGTTTTTCACTCAGCATTCTTGTCTCCAGGTTCCCTTGGTCCGTGGATAGTTTAGCAAGGTAGATCAGCAAATTCCTGGGTAGGATTTTGTAACATATATATAGTTGACTTCAGAGAGAATAAGTTTTCGGTTTTATTCCCAGATTTAGCAGTGGGGGGTGATAGTTTGGTTGGAGGGTTTGAATTGATTGGTGCTGGCCTGAGTAGCGTTTGGGGATGGATATAATCAGGGAGAAGGTAAGGCCCTCACCATTCGAGGATTTGTAATGTTATGTGCTCTTCTTGTTGAGATTGCGAGGAGGAATGCAGCAGGAGGATGAATGTGAGAGAGAGTCAGAAGGAAAATGAACTATACAAACAGTTTTTCTTTCACATCTCATATTGTTATTTCAATGTGTATTGAGGTCCATTTTTGGGGCATTCATTGATTGCTCTCTACTCTTTACTTCGTCGCATTGTGTCTCGACTCTCGAGCATGTCTGAACTGTGCACATATTTCATCTGTTGTATTGTTGCTTGTTAGTTGGTTTCTAATTTTCCATGTTGTGCTCTCTCGGGAGGGATTTTGCTACCATGATGCTGTTGATGGGCACCGACGGATGGTCTTTGGTTCGACTCTTGCAGCCCAGTGATCTTCGTTGTTAGACGTACGAACTGGAGAGTAGTTTTGTAAATATGGATGTGACTAGCCGGCTATGTGAAGTTATATGGATGGAGCTACCAAAGCAAAGTATACATATAGGCAATGGGTTTGGAGAGAAAGTAAGGCAAGGCACAAAAGCAAACAAGGGTTCTTCTCATATGACTTCATTAGGGCAAACCTAGCAAGTCGTTGGATTTTCCATCTCTTGCCAATCTATTAATTATGTCCAAAAAAAGATATGAAGTTATATGTACATAGTCGGTACTAGAGATGTATGAAAAGCCCTGAATGTTAGGGTTTGAAAATACATGTTCGATTTTGCGGTTAAAAGGTTATGTACGTTTTTAGATCAGTTGCAACCTAGAATGTTGTCTCTATGCACATGGGTAGGCACATGCAATTCATATCTATAAGCTCTTATGACTAGCTAATTGCTTCAATCTAGGGTATTTGTTTGAGTAAAAAGTAAAAACAAATAATAACCATATATCAATGGAAAAATAATTTGATAATATGCATAATAAAGTAATATATTATTAATTTATTATCAACCACCCACAAGCATGCCTGATACATGTAGTGCAGTTGATTTCGAACTCGACCATTTTCATATACTTTGACAGACCCATAATTTATTCCAACTATAATGAGTTTTTTTTCCTCGTGGACCGAAGAAACATGATCACGTCACACATGTAACTGTGGTATAGATGTATTATTCGTGATAATAACATCGTATTATATACGTATGCCATACGTACATACTCGAATCCATGAGAGTGTTTTTTTTTGTACGCATATCTTTCGTAATTGATCTTCAAGAGACGGGAGAGCAAGTGAATTGGGGAGTTGGTGCAGTATTAGTCGTCATATTGGCACAGGAGGCAAGAAGGTGGCGAGCAAGAGGCGCGTACGCCTTCAAATCCAAAGCCTTGACCTTAAGCGTAGCGCACAGGCAATCCGCCGTCGTATTGAGGCCCACCATCCCGTCTCCTCCTAAAACAGAGCAGCACTGTTTGACCACAACTGAATCCACCGCCACTGGGCCGCCAATAACTCCGGCCCGGCCCACTCCAAGAGGCCCATTACTATCGTGGACCATCGTCACCAGCCCATCAACGCACCCCGCTCCCACCTTCATCACCCTCTCCATCGGACACCTCATCATCGTCGTCGTCGTCCCTCCGGCCGCCAGCTCCGCCGCGGTGGCGGTCCCGTTGCCTCCGTGCTTATTCCACTTCCGTCCGGCCGCCGCCGCCAGGTCAGCAGCTGGGTTCTTGTGATCACAGCAACCATTGAAATTGTAGTTGGTTGATTTTATGTTGATGGTGAACTTCGTGTTGGCGCCTCTGACTCTGATGGAAGAATACCCAAAGAGGTTTTCTTTTGCTTGGCTCGAGGAGGTGGACGAGGACGAGGAGAAGGAGAAGGAGAGCATGAGAGTTGTTGTAACAAGGAGAAGAGTGGCGGTGGCTCTAAAATTTAGGGACATTTTTGTAGAAAAAAGTATGTTGAGGGTGTAAATGGGAAGAACTTATATCTTTGTAGGGTGCCATGGCTTTGGAAAGGGGAAGCATATATATAGTACAAAGAGTCGACGTACTTTGGTGATTAGTCGATTTGAGAAATGGACGGGAGAGTGGAATTTTGTTAAGGTAAGTATTACTATTGGGTTGATATGAGTCATGGGGAATAGTATCTTTTTGAGAAATTTGGGAGACTTTGGTAGCTCGTGTGTGCATGTCTTTCTATATCTTAGATGATTGTGCTTTTGATCCTAGCCCTAGTGATTTGAAGGGTTCTTCTCTCTCATATGCCTTACTTAGGGCAAACCTAGTAAGTTGTTGGTATCTTTGATGTTTTGCTAATGATCTTTATATTTGAAAAAGATATGAAGTAACTAATGATTGAGGTTTGAGAGGGGGTGTTAGAAACCTTTGTACCGTTGTTTGTGGTACTTTTGTTTTAGTTTAATCGATGAATTTAGTAGTGTCGATTATTATAAGTTTTTATGAATGTATATGATGTGTCAAAACCAATTATTTGATTGGTTTTTGTGTTGTTGAATTGACGCCTTTAATTTTCAGGTTTAGAAGGAATCACATTTGTTCTTAATTGATTTGTGAGAATTTTATCAAGTAGCAAAATCTGATTTGAAGTTCATAACTTTTTTGTACTTTAGGATCAAAAGTAGCTTTATGTCTATATTGACATTGTTCATCGTACCACTTAAATCAGACATTTGAGACTTACTTTTAATGATCCAAACGAAGATTATTATCGTTTTTTTATGATTGCTACAATTTATGAAGTGCTTGATGAAAAAAAGGGTCCACTTTTTTCACACACCACCTAATATTTTATCTTGATACAAACTATTTGGTACTGTTAATTTTTCCTTCCATTTTAGCTTTAGGCGCACTGGTCTTAACTGTGACAATCTACTCAATTCCTTATGCCTGACTTAGTCATGTCGTTACATTGTTTCAATTGTTGATACTCCATGTTATAATTTCAAAACTTAGATCACCCTTTTCCTTTCTTTATGGACAATACGAAAATTTACATGTAGTTTCAATTGTTTTCGCTCACATAATTATTCTACGAAGAGTACGATGGTCTCCTCCTCGTCTATAAAGATGAGAATCTAACATGATGATACTCTTCTCTTCAAATTTTCTTTCATTAAGACGTCAAATCAAAACCTCACACTACACCATTGCAAACAAACTAAGTCATACAACAACAAATGGTACTACACCAATACACTCCAAACATCTTGACTGCCAAATTGCCAATCCACTGAAAGTACAACCAAACCCCCTTACCATAACAATAATTCCAACAATACAAAAAAGAAGAAGAAAAAAACCCTAGAGAGAGAAAGAGTAGAGAGAACAAACAAGAAAGCCCGACATCCTCTCATGTCAACTACTTCAATCATCCATCCATATCACTTCCTGCTATTAGCTTGCAAGCCCTGCATTATAATCATGCCAATTAGTGTTACAATATGATACTAACTACCATCTTATACCAATGTTTGAATCTAGAAAACTAAAGTAGCACTTTTAGGGATTTGAATCGTGGTGGTAGCTTTATTAGAGGCATAGTACGACATCACTAACGATTATTTTATCTTTCAGATCTGTTACGATTTGCACGCGCATTTCTCTAACTATCACACAAGCAAAGCTTTGGGTAATTGTTGTACGATAATTTTGGGGAAGGCGGTGGCGCGGAGGGAAAGCTTGAGGACATGGATCCTCAAATATAGACCCCCATTTAACGAAAAATACATTTGATACATAGATTTTAGTACGACCGTTTTTCGTTGGTGTTAGCCGTACATAAAAATCGCAATCAATCGTAAGTCTGGCTACGCCACTAAGGCTATACATACCTTTTCAAACTTCAAATGGAGCAAGTGTAGCCCGGTGGAGGCGATTTCCCACAAGTGATGAGCAGCTCAAGAGCCAAAGGGACGAAGATGCTCAAGTTCAAGGCCCTGATCTTCAACGTGGTGCACAGGCAGGCCGCGGCCTCAACTTCGACAAGCCCAGCAAGCACCGGGCAGCACTTGTTCACAACTGGGCCGCCGAGCCCAATGTGGACGATCCCGCCCAGCAGATCCACGCAGGCCCCCAGCTTCAACGTGTCGATGGGGCACGTGTCCTTCTTCGCCGGCGGAGGTGGGCAGGCCGCCGGCGACGGTGACTTCCCCGACCCGCCGCCGGTCACCGGAGGGACGGTGGGGATGTTGGGAATGGGGACTTTGGGGACGGTGACCGGAGGGAGTTTGGGGAGGTGGATTGGGGGGAGCTTGATTGGGCCTGGGCCCTTGGAAGGGGATTTGGGCTTTGGGTTGGGCTTCCGGCCGCCGCAGCGGCCGCAGGAGGAGAGGATGGGAGTGGCGGAGGAGAGGAAGAGCATGAAGATTAGGAGAAGGGCGGCTGAGGATTTGGAGGAAGACTCCATTTTTGGGGATTATTGTTCTTTTTTTTTATGGGTGAATGAAGGAATGTGGAGTGGGTTTGGAGGAAGTGCATGTGTTTATATATAGTAGATTTTGGAGAGTGAAGAGAGAAAAAAGGCTTATGATTTTGGATGTGAAGTAGTAGTTGGTCATCTTATGGATGAATTGTGTGGTTAGTCAGTTTGATTTTTTTATTATGAGCATAAATTTCGCTTTACAGTCAGTCGTACGTCTTTTTGTGTTACGACCGAAATGTTTTCGGTTTCTTACTCTACTCAAATTACGATCAGTATATAGATAACATGTGTCAAGTTTGAGTTTTCGTAATTTCTTTTCATTTTTCTTTGTTTGAGCTATATTACTCATAGGCATTTGATACCTTGAAATAATAGTATGGATCAACATTATAACGAAAAAGAAGAGGGAAAAGGATTGCATATTATGAGTCTCGAAATAAGAATCTTCGAATTCAAGATTTAGCGCCTCAACCAATCGATCATACCTGTATTGACGAATCTCCATGAGTTTAGATTTGTTTTTTTTTTTTCTCTCGCTAGGTAGAAAGGAGAACCAGTTCACGTGAAGAGATAAAGGTGCTGCTAAAGTTTGCAAGTTGGCAAAACTACATTACAAATAGATGAATCCAATATGGTTTTAATGTGGGAGAAGTATTTATTTATTTGATTGTATATTTCTTCAGTTGGCACTGGGGGCTACAGTATACTGTACATGACTACATGTTAACTAATATTATTTATATTGGGTAATGTATTAATATTTTCACTAAAATGGATGCCTTTTATGATTTTCATGCCTTTGATGGGATTGATGAAAAGACCTAGTATATATGTCCTAGAATAAGCTTTCTGTTTTTATTCTTTTGTTTCATTTTATCCTTAAAACAATATTAAAAGCACAACACTTATGCAACTTGTCCAACAAAAAAAAAAACTCGCTAGTACAAAATATGAGCTTTGTATATGTATAGAATGATAGAAGCATAGTTACGCGTAACTTATAAGGAATTACCGTCGGCC